GGCGCCGCTGCGTCTTTGCGCCTGCGCACGGCGCAGGGGCGGGGGGGGAAGGGGGGGAATGCTGAGGCCGGGGATCAATGAATGAACCTGCGGGGTGGGAGGGGGGAGTGGGGGGTGCTGCGGGGGCCCCGCAGACTCTGCTCGTTGGCTGGGTCCCCGAGCGCACCGGGGGCGGTTGGAACCCGGCATGGCCCGGAGCCCGCCGGCGCTGTGGCTGCCGTCGCTGGTGATTCTAACGCTGGTGTCCTCTGCCCAAGTTTCCACTGACTACCAGTACTTTGGCCAGCACGGGACAGGTGACACCTGGGAGCTGCTAGGGCTGCAACAACAAAAGGGTAAACGCAGACGGTGGGGCGGGGGGCGGGGTATGCTCACAGGTCCCTCTAGGCCTCTTATTTGGCCCATTTGTCTACACACAACCTCCCCTCCCCCTTCTCAACTCTGTCCACCTCAGCACTGACGACGTTCCCTGGGGCTGGTTACTGATCCCTTAAGTTGTTTTCTCTCTGTTACTTGTAACCCAGATACCTGCAAGCCGTGCAGGGGGACTGGGGTCATGAGAAAGCCATGAACAAGGAAGTAGGAATCCCATACACTCCTAGGGGGAATGGGGGGGGGGATTAGGTGCTTGTTAGAGCAGAGGCCAAGAACCGGGTGGCTAAGCTTGAAAAGTCAGAAAAGGTGTGGCTGAAGAAGACCAGCCAGAAAGACCAGCAAAAGCCCCCAAGCAAGGATCTAGGTGTGAGTTACTCAGTTCTGAAAGAAAAAAAAATTGTAGCTGCTTTTAAAAATTATCGTCATTATTATTTTTATTCCCACATGCTTCAAGTGCCTTTATTATACCAATTAAGTCATTTAATTTATCACCTGTCAGCCCTGCTGGGGCACAGTGAAGTCAACTGAAGATGACATATGCTAAGGAAGGCCATACTCCCGAGTGGGCTGGCTGGCATAGATTGGAAGTGTCAGCTGGCAGAGCCTCTCTGGAGAAGGGAGTAGAGGTATGTTCTTCCTATTTGGGGGTCTTCACCTGTGCTCTCTGGGGTCTTCATCTCTAGAAGCAGAGGAGGCTTTTCTGGGCCCGTGGGGAAAGTGGCGCTGTTTCTGCGATCTGGGCATACAGGAGAGGGACAGGGAGGTCGTCGGCAAAGCATCCAACCCTGTGTTCCTGAGTCCCGAGGACCTGGTCCAGGTGAAGCCTTGCCAGCCACAGGATTGTTCATCTTGCAAACCGATGGACTGCCACTAGAGGCCCTAGGCCTGGGTGAGTGACCAGCACCAAGCACTGATTAGGCTAGGAGGAGGAGAGAGGGTCAGGGATGGGTCAGGAGATAGGAAGGGCAGTGGGGCCAGGTGGAGAGACAATTTGGGAGTGGAGAGAACGAGAATGTAGCTTGAGGCTAGAGGGGGAGGGTGTAGCTTAGTCAGCACCCTTGAGCCCTCCTGATATCTAGGGAGAAAGTGAGAAAGGCTGGGGGGGGGAGGGGGGAGGGGTGTCATGTGGAAAATAGGCAAAGGGAGATGGAAGAACAGGAACTCTGAGGAGGGCACGGACAGGACCAGCCCCCAGTGAAGCCCAGGGACTAGAAAGCTCCAAAAGGGGTCCGGAGAAGAAGTAGCAGGAGAAGGGTTGGGGGATGGGGAGAAAGGAGGGGACTTTAAAGTTGGGTGACATGAGCCTGCCGGGTGGGTGGGGACCCAGATCTCCAAACGGGTACGGGAGACTTGCCCTGAGTAAGAGAGGGTAGCAGAGATCAAGAGGACAGGGAAGATGAGAGGAAGGAAGGAAGTTTGGGGGGGGGGTGAGGGTGTCCCAGTGGAATCTGCTGATACTAGGAGCTGTGTAGGGGCAGAGATGGGAATACAAGCCGGAATGACAGACAGGAGACCCGTGGTCTGAGAGTGCGGTGACTTTCCACCTTCTAAGCCCTGAAAAAAAGTGAACTTCGTCTCAATTTCCCCTCTATTTTCCCTCTGTCCTGACCAGCCTTGAGAGATGTAGCCCCAGAGACTCGGGGGCGGGGCTCTCAAAACGACCCCGCCCTCCCCAGTCTGCAAGCCACACCCACAGCAGTCGAACTCCTGAACTACAATTCCCAGGAGGACTCACGGCAACCAAGTCGGCCTCAGCTGCGTCAGCCCCGGCGCCGCCGAGCGCGTTGGGGGCGTGTCCTGCGCGTTGATTGGTCCGAATCCAGCCTGACTTCCGGACCCGTGGAAAACGCGCGCTGGGATTTGAGCTTGCAGGTTTCGATCCCGCAGCTGGTGGCGGCGGCCGAGGCGGCATGGATCTCCGAGAGCTGGAGCGGGACAATACGGGCCGCTGTCGCCTGAACTCGGCTGTGCCCGCCGTGTGCCGACAGGAACCCTGCGTTCTGGGCGTCGACGAAGCGGGCCGAGGCCCTGTCCTGGGTGCGCCCCCACGCTCAGGGCGGGCGTGGGGAGCGCGGGAACCCGAGTCGTGATGGCCTCGAAAAGAGTGGTCGCATTGCCCCAGGGCGGCGTTTCAGGGGCTCGCTGGTAGCACCCCCTTTCTTGCCCCGCTTCTTGGAAATCTGACACCCATTTCTCCCCCAGGCCCCATGGTCTATGCAGTCTGCTATTGCCCCCTGTCCCGCCTAGCGGATCTGGAGGCCCTGAAGGTCGCAGGTGAGCCCTGTGTACGTCTGGGAATGGGGTTCCTGGGTACATGCAGGGTGACAGATGGGAAATTGAGGGAAAGTGTAGAAAGCTGAAAGAGCCAGTCACCCCCTCCCCTTTTTTCTCCAACCTCCTTCCCAGACTCAAAGACCCTGTCGGAGAACGAGCGGGAAAGGCTCTTTGCCAAAATGGAAGAGGACAGGGACTTTGTGGGCTGGGCTCTGGACGTGCTGTCTCCAAACCTCATCTCTACCAGCATGCTTGGACGGTGAGGGTGGGGGGGGAGTGTGTCCCCAGAAGGGGCTGGGGAGAGGACGGGCAGATCACACGGGCTACTGGGCTCTGTGGCTCGAGTGGGATTTACTGAATGCTGTTCCTCGCTGCAGGGTTAAATACAACCTGAACTCTCTGTCCCATGATACCGCTGCTGGGCTAATCCAGTATGCCTTGGATCAGGGTGTGAATGTTACACAGGTGAGTTGAGCAAGAAACACAATAGCCGAGTATTTTTGTTTTTTTTTGTTTTTGTTTTTTTTTTGTCGGTCGTGGGGCTTGAACTCCGGGCCTGGGCGCTGTCCCTCAGCTCTTCAGCTCAAGGCAAGTGCTCTACCACTTGAGCCACAGCGCCACTTCCGGTTTTCTGGTGGTTTATTGGAGATAGGAGTCTCACGGTCTTTCTTGCCTGGGTTGGCTTTGAACCGCGTTCCTCAGATCTCAGCCTCCTGAGTAGCTAGGATTACAGGCGTGAGCCACCAGCGCCCGGCACAATAGCCGAGTATTATTTGCCTGTAGTCCTAGCTACTCAGGAAACTGAGATGTGATGATCTTCGTTCAAAGCCAGCCTGTGAGGGAAGTCTGCCAGACTTTTTGTTGTTGGTGGTGGTCATAGGGCCTGAACTCAGCCTGGGCGCTGTCCCTCAGCTCTTCAGCTCAAGGCTAGTACTCTACCACTTGAGCCACGGTGCCCCTTCTAGCTTTTTGGCGCTGAGCAATCCAACCCAGGGCCTCATGCATGCAAGGCAAGTACTCTACTACTGAGCCACCTTCCCAGCCCCCCCCCTTTTTTTGTGTGTGTGTGTGTGCTGGTCCTGGGGTTTGAACTCGAGGCCTGGTGCTGTTCCTGAGGATTTTTGCTCAAGGATAGCATTTGCCAGTTGAGTAACTGGAGATGAGAGCCGCAGCCTCCCCAGAGCGCCACCCCCAGGTGGGTGCCATCCCCTTGGCGCTGTCATATGCCGAGTCCTACAAGTCCAGAACAAATCCCATACCTGTCCATCTTCCCAAAGCCTCTCCTAGCCCAACCCTCCTCTGCTTCTCAACTGGAAACCTGCCCGGCTTCCTCCGCAGTCCTCCCCCACCTCTAGCCCCCTCCCCTTCACTCTGCTTCCCATGCAACAGACGGTCTTGGAGAAATGTAAATCTTGACATTTAATTTTATGATCATAGTGCAAATTGAAATTCACAGTCTGAGTGGGGAGAAGGAAATTAAATGATGTGGGAAATCGGCATGGTGTTGGGGTCCTCAGAGGCAAGGAACAGGTGGTTTTGAGAGAATTTGACTGGAGAATTAAAGTGAGAATGGAGCAGGGGATAGCGAAGCCCTGGCCTGGAGTACAGAGCTGCAGGAGCAAACAAGAGCTCTGCCTGGGGAGTCAAGGCCTAGGCTGAGGGAAGAGGGTGGGGCGGTCAGGTGGTCTGCTGTTTCTGTGAAAATAAAGGTTGTTGAGAAGATGTGGCCGTACTTAACCCCCGTCAGCTCCTGGACTTCACTTCTGTACTCCAAGCCATGGGGCCTGCCTACTGCTCCTTCCTACCACAGCTGCAGCCTCTGCTGGGTCTGCCTAGCAATGCCACTAGCAATGCCTTGTTTTTGTTTGTCGGTCGTGTGCCTTGAACTGGGCCTGGGCGCTGTCCCTCAGCTCTTCAGTTCAAGGCGAGCGCTCTACCGCTTGAGCCACAGCACCCCTTCTGGTTTTCTGGTAGTTTATTGGACATAAGAGTCTCACGGATTTTTCCTGCCCAGGCTCGCTTTGAACTGCAATCCTCAGATCTCAGCCTCCTGAGTAGCTAGTATGACAGGTGTGAGCCACTGGCATCCAGCTAAGTGCTTAGCCTTAAGTTAAAATGTTTTAAGAGGTAACTCCTAGGCCCTGAATTCAAGCATGAGTTTGTCATGTGTGTGCATGCACCCATGCTTACACTCACACTCACCCAAAAAAAGGAAAATGAGAAGGAAGCCTATTGTGGGCGATGGTAAAGCAGGTGCAGAGACTTAAGAGGCTAGGTCCTGTTGTGTGGTTTTTTTCCCTCTGGCTGTTTGTTCACTGAATCCTCTGTCACCATGGCAGGTATTCGTGGACACCGTGGGGATGCCAGAAACATACCAGGCGCGGTTGCAGCAACGCTTCCCTGGGATTGATGTGACGGTCAAGGCTAAGGCCGATGCCCTTTACCCGGTGGTCAGCGCTGCAAGCATCTGTGCCAAGGTGTGGCCCCACTGACCCTGGCCAGCTCCCACCATCCTCCGGGCAGACCAAGCTCCCATGGCCAAGGGAGCACCCAATTTCCTGTCCTGCCTGCAGGTGGCTCGAGACCAGGCCGTGAAGCACTGGCAGTTTCTCGAACGATTGGAAGACTTGGACACTGACTATGGCTCAGGCTACCCCAATGGTGAGGGCATTGCTGTCAGGTTTTGTGATGATAATATGGTTTGCCGGGCTCCGGAGGCTGTGGGTCTGACTGGGTCTGGCTGTGTAGCCTAGGCCGGCCTGGAAGTCAAGGTCCTCCTGCCTCAGCCTCCCAAGGGCTGGGGGGACAGGCGTGCACCCCTGCTCTTGGCTTCTCAGGATTTTAACATTGCGATGGCCACCTCCAGACCATGGCCACATGGTCTGTGTGTGAGGCCTGGGTCCTGCCCATCCCCCTCCGACCCCTTCGTCTCTGAGTGGACACCCAAGGTGCCCATGTGTATATTAAGGGAGAGGTGGATCTGGGGGCGTGGCTCAGCAGGGGGCGTGGTCACTGTGGGTATCCTCAGTAGAGCATGGCTATGTGGTAGAACACTGGTCTAGCATGCTTGACATTTTATTCTCAGAACCACACGTGCACATGCGCGCGTGCGCGCGCACACACACACACACACACACACACACAAGTGATGCCAGGTGTGGTGCCCACACTTGTAACCTATCTTTGCTAGGGAGTCTGAGGCAGGAGGATTGAGAGATGAAGGCCAGCCTGGGGCATACAGGGAGACGTCTCTGTCAAAAAAGAAAACAATAGGGCTGGGAAGGTGGCTCAGTGGTAGAGTGCTTGCCTTGCATGCATGAGGCCCTGGGTTCAATTCCTCAACACCACATAAAAAAGAAAAAAGCCGGAAGTGGCGCTCTGGCTCACGTGGTAGAGCGCTAGCCTTGAGCTGAAGAGCTGAGGGACAGCGCCCAGGCCCAGAGTTCAGGCCCCACGACCGGACCCAAAAAAAAAAGAAAAGAAAACAATAGAAAAATACAATGAAGAGCCAACAGCAGGGTTTGAGGAATCTTCTTGATTTTCTGCCTGTACAGGAGGGGCCTGTGGTCTGGCAGCTGGTTTTGTGTGTGCTGTCCTTGGGGGTCAGGGGGATGTTTCCCTAAAACTGCACAGTGAATAGCATTTGGCCCGGCACAGAATGGGAAGGAGGGGCCCTGCCTGTGCAAAGGGCCTGGGGCCGGAAGGTCAGCTCAGGAAGAAGCCGACGCTGTTACCTGAAGGCTCAGGGGCTGACACTGTGCTCCCTGTTCCCCTCCCCTTCCCCTGTCTCTAGACCCCAAGACAAAAGCCTGGTTGAGGAAGCACATAGAGCCTGTGTTCGGCTTCCCTCAGTTTGTCCGGTTCAGCTGGCGCACGGCCCAGACCATTCTAGAGAAGGAGGCTGAGGGGGTGATATGGTGAGAGTCCAGACTGCCAAGGTTGCGGGGCGGGAGGAAAGGCGGCAGTGGGGGGGGCGGGGAGGACTCAGCCCAGCCTCTAAGTTACCACTGCCCTGCAGCACGGCCACTGTCCCCCTCCCTTCCACAGGGAGGACTCAGAAGCTGCAGCTCCGGAAGGACCTGGAAGGATCACGTCCTATTTCCTGCAGGAGGAACCCCAAAATCGCCCCCGTGGACCCCACCGGTACTTTCAGGAACGGGGCCTGGAAGCAGCCACCAACCTGTAGGAGCCAGCCCTGAGTTAAAAAGGAAAAGTCTCCCCTGGCTGTGATTAAAGGTGTTTGTGGAGAAGCCAGTGGCATTGGCCATTCCTGCAGAGGTGGGCGGGGCGTGCCTGATCGGAACCCAGCCTGTGTATTGTTTGGACTGGGGCCTGGCTTACACCGATGGCTGTGGCAGAGCGGCAAAGCGGTGGTGCAGGCTCAGTGGTAGAGCACAGGTAGCTCTGAGGCCTTGGGGTCCATCCGCAGCCTTGCAAAAAAAAACTAAAGTGAACTAATTTAAAACATAACAAGCCAGGCGCCCGGGGCTCACGTCTGTCATCCTAGCCACCCTGGAGGCTGAGATCTGAGGATGGCGGTTCCAAGCCAGCCAGAGCAGGAAAAGTCCATGAGACTCTTATGTCCAATGAACCACCAGAAAACTGGAAGTGGAGCTGTGGCTCAAGTGGTAGAGCGCTCACCTTGATTGAGCTGAAGAGCTGAGGGACAGCCCCCAGGCCCAGAGTTCTAGTCCCACAAACAAAAAAACAAAATCAGAATGGGTGTTGCTTGATTGGCTTAATGGGTTTTTTATGGCTGTTTTATGTTTCCTCTGTTTTTGCAGTTGTGGGGCCTGGGCACTGTCTCTGAGCTTTTTTACTCAAGGCTACCACTCTACCACTTTTTTTGGTGGAAGGGGGTGGTCCGGTTGTGGGGCCTGAAATCTGGGCCTGGGCGCTGTCCCTCAACTCTTCAGCTCAAGGCTAGCGCTCTACCACGTGAGCCACAGCGCCACTTTCCGGTGTTTTTCTTTTTGCTTATGTGGTGCTGAGGAATCGAACCCAGGGCCTCAGGCATGCAAGGCAAGCGCTCTACCACTGAGCGACCTTCCCAGCCCCCCACTCTATCACTTTGAACCACAGCTCCACTTCCAGTTTTCTAGCAGTTAGTTGGAAGTAAGAGTCTCACACACTTTCCTGCCTGGACTGGCTTTGAACTGGAATCCTTACATCTCAGCCTCCTGAGTAGCTAGGATGACAGGGGTGAGTCAGTCACCAGTGCCAGGCTTTTTTTTTTTTTTTTAAGACAGGATCTTACTATGTTGGCATGGCTGGTCTTGAACTCCTAGATTGAGGAAACCCTCCTGTCTCAACCTTCCAAGTACCGGGGATTACATACAGGTCTGCACAGGTGAAAGTGGGTTGACCTAAGGCGAGGGGGGCCCACTTCCACCTGGCCCTCAGGATACTTCCATGCTGCGAGGATGCCCAAGCCCCCGGGACAGACCCTGCACTGGGCTATTCCAACAGACCATCGCCACTGAGGTTCAAATCCACAGGGCAGGCGCCACTGCCTCCCTCCTGTAGTCTTAGCGCCGAGGAAGCATGGGATCTTAGGATTGCACTTTGCAGCCAACCTTACAAAAGAGTTTCCTGAGACTTTTTTTTTT